CTCGCCAGTCATGACCTCCATGAATTCTATAAAGAGCGAAAATACAAACAACCAGTTACACTTGCAAATCTTTCAGAAAGAAGTTCACCACCACTCACCATCAAAATCAACCGTTCCGGAGCCATCAGAATCGATTTCCTCAATCATCATGTCCAAATCGTCATTTGTCAACTTATCATCCAATTCACGCAGAATTTCACGCAGCACACCGGTGGTGATGTAACCGTTGCCCTCCTTATCGTACAAACGGAATGCCTCCTTCAGTTCGGCTTGCATCGCTTCGGCATCCTCTTCAACAAGGAAACGCGCCGCCAATGTGGTGAATTCTTCGAACTCAATTTGTCCCGAACCATCTTCATCGACTTCAGCGATAATTTCGGCAAGCATGGCATCGTCTAACTGATGGCCCAACATACTGAGAATGGTGCCCACCATGGCGGTGTTGATGTAGCCATTCTTCTCGGCATCGAATGCATTGAACGCGTTACGCAGCACTGTAAAAGGGATGGTGAGTTCAAAGCAATGTAATTTATTATTATACAACGATGTTTTAGAGGATGAAAAACTAAAAAAGGTATTTTCTTAAAGATATATCGATCCTTGCTCATAAAGACGTACGACACAGGCTAGATACTATTTTTTCTGGTACACTTTCCAATTTCACGCGATGAACATAGTTTAGGTTAGGAAACTGCATTTCAGGTGGCATTCTTCGTCAACTGAAACTCGTCTCACTCCAAGGGTGGTTCAGGTAGAAACAAATCGGTTATATTCTTAAAAATTCGATAAAAATAATTGCTTTTAAATAATGAGTTGCATTTTTGACGTTGAATACGTCTTACCTTAAGGTATGGGGGCTATGTTCAAATGTTGTAGTTGTAATTTTTAGAGCATCACAAAAACGCTTATTGCACGAGAACTAATAAAGCGATTTCAAAGAAAAGTGTGGCGCTTCAAAGATAAAATTCCAAACCTGTCGACAGACTCATTTTTGTAAATAACCAATTCGGTTTCTGTCGTAAAAACAACGGTAAACATTGCCTTATTTTGGGGTCAATTTTGAGCCTTTAAAATGCTCTAGCAACTTATTGTTGGCATATATAACTTTCATTTTCGGGATATAGGTTCTTTGGAGCAGTAGAAATATTATCGGGTACAAATTTTATATAAATTTAACAAATATTGAGCATTTTAAGGCAAAAAATTGTTGAAAAAATTTCCAAATTTTTTTCATTACCAAAATGCTCGAAAACCGCTCAAATGATTTTGTTTTTTGTTTTCTTTAATCAAAAATTCAAGAGTTTTCCTTTCGTTTGGTATATGGGAAGTATTGGTTGATATCTTCTATATATGTTTATTTTATTCAAATATATGGGCATAAATGATTTTCCATACAAAATCACCTCGTCATCATTTTGCAAACACGTGCACGCATTGGAAGCGTGGGAAGGAGACAAAAAGTATGTATGTGTCCGTAAGTACATATTTCGGGGTTTATCGGTATAATAATCGATACTTTGTCGGTTTTATTACCGATGTTTTTATCGATTTTGCTATCGAAATTTTTATCGATAATGTTATTGATTTTGCTATCGATATTTTCGGAACTTATCGATATAATGATCGGTATTTTTTCGATTTTGTTATCGATATTTTTTCTCGATTTTGTTATAGATATTTTGTTGACTTTGTTGTCGATTTTGTTATCGACACTGTAATCGATTTTATGATAGATTATTTATCGATTTTGTTATCGATATTTTTATCGATTTTGTTATCGATTTTATTACCGATATTTTTATAGATTTTGTTGTCGGTATTTTAATCGATTTTGTAATCGATATTTTTACCGGTTTTGTCATCGATATTTTTATTGATTTTGTTTACGATTTAGCTATCGATATTATTATTGCTTTCGTTATCGATATTTTCATCGAATTTGTTATCGATATTGTTATTGGTTTTGCTATCGATATTTTCGGAACTTACCCATATAATGATCGATACTTTTATCGATTTTGTTATCGATATTTTTGATCGATTTTGTTATCGATTGTGTAATCGATTTTGCTATCGATTTTGTCATCGATACTTTTATCGGTTTTGTTACCGATATTTTTATCGATTTTGCTATCGATATAGTTATTGGTTTTTGTTATAGGTTTTATATTCGATATTTTTATTGATGTTGCTATATTGGTATTGATATTTTTATGGATTTTGTTATGGATTTTGTTATCGACTTTATAATCGATTTTGTTATCGACTTTGTTATCGATTTTGTAATCGATATTTTGATAGATTTTGTAATCGATTTTGTAATCAGTATTGTTATCGATTTTGCTATCGATTTTGCTTTCGATATTTTTTCGATTTTGATATCAATATTTTCATCGATTTCTTTATCGATGTTTTTATCGATTTTGCTACCGATATTATTATCGCTTTTGTTATCGATATTTTTTGCTTAGTGTGTGCTTTTGTTTTTTTACTTGGATATGCTCTTAACCATACCACGTATTCTACGTTTAAATTTAGCGGCTGTATCTCCGATACAGCCTGCAGACCAAGACGAAGGCGCTGGACTGTTCCTTTTTTTAAATAATCGTGGGATTAACTTGAAATTTGTTACTCGAGGGTTTTGGGGCCGCTAATTACGATATGCTAATGAATTTTCAAAATTCAAAATGGCGGATAAGTATTTTTATTCATCCCCTCTGCAAAATTGGTCTAGGTAAAAAGATCGGTTATATTCTTGAGAATTCGGTAAAAATTGAAATTTGTTATTCACGGGTCGCTGATTACGAATATGATCATTAAATTTTAAAATTCAAAATGGCGGATCCAATTTTGAAAAATTTATAAACACATTCGAGACCAATAGTGAAATTTAATTTTTTGAATTTGGTACCTATATTTAGGAAATTGAGTATTTTTATACCGATATTCATACATAAGTACCCGATATTTTTACAGCGATACATACTTTAAGTGAGTACCGTATCAATACTTTCGGTTTGATATCATATCACTGAAAGGCACGCAAGGGCACAGAGTGGTTCAGCCCCATATAGCTTTTGAGAAAATTAGATGGAGTTGGCGTATGTCCTAAATTTTTCGTATTTAACCTCTAAGGATATAAGTCAAGAAAAACCCGAAAACTGGGTGTGATCGATTTATTTTAAAGCATACCTCCTATACAAGCTTAACCTCAAGAACGTCTTAAAGATGCCATTAAAAGGGCACCGATGAATGTAGTAATCCAAAATTCCGTCCATATGTTAACAGTAATAGAATAACTTAAGTGTGCAAAAAATATGCAAAATATATTTACTTTAACACTTACTTCCCGTACAAACTTAACCTCAAAAATGCTTAAAAATGTCATTAAAATCCCACCGTTGAATGCACGAGTCCGAAATTTTGTCCATATATTTATAATAATATTGCAAATGAACACTCTTAAAATTGCTTTAATCGGTACACCTTCCATACAAGCCTAACCTCAAAAAGTTAATGAATGAATTTTTAGAAAATTATTATGTATGTACATATATAAAAAAAAACGAAAAGGTAGCCTAAAAAAAAAATTTTCAAAAATCAAGGCTTTTTTTAGCCGTTTGCGCTTCATTAGACTAAAATTGTATGGGCTATAAAACTGCATGCCCAAAAAATTTCAAAAAATTCAGAATAAAAAGTTGAAATTTTGATGAAAATTTTTTTAATTTTCCTAACATTTGTATAAAGTTTGAAACTGTGATTTACACGGTCTTGGTTAAAGCTTGGACGATATTTTTTATAAAGATAACAAAAAAATGTAGCTGGAAAAATATTACGAATATTAAAAAAAAACAATACGTGGTCATTTCTTTGAGTCACTGTAGGTCTTAATTGAGGACCTCTTGAGGTCTATTAATTGCAATCTATTAAAGTCATGTTCTTCTAGGTACAGTGACACTATGAACTGCAGATCGAGCCTTGTAAGGGCATAATCGTTATCATGTGATCTGCTATGTTATTTTCTTAATCACACAGATTTCACTGACCGAAGTGGACAACTTCCATGTTTTGCAAATACTCAAATAACCTGCAATGACCAGCAAGAGACCACAAGGAGTTTACCAAATCGGACCAAAATTTTGGTCTCTCCGATATTTCAATAACTAAAGACCCCCGTTTACTCCAAGTAAATCTCCCAGTAAGAAAAATTATTATAAAAATTATTATAACCTTTTTAAAACTATATAAGACTATATAAGTGTATTTCGTTAATCGATTTATTGATTTCTGCCAGGCCTGGTTCAATTATTTCATTCAGTCTAACTGAGCATATTATAGAAAATGTTTAAAATCGGCGAAAAGCATCCCTGCTTATTATGCAAAAGCGAAAAAACGGTATTCGAATTAGCCCGAACTTGAATTTATTTGTATAAAATTGGATTTATTTTTTAGCAGACCTGTACCCATTTACAGCTTTCTGCGTAATGTTTTATGTATTTTGAAATTTGTAATTCTGCAGGACTAGAATAAACTAGACTCGCTTTTAATAATGCTTTCAAGCTGAGCCTGTAGCTATGCGCTCAGATTTGCACACGCTGTGTGTTTTTCCTATTTTTATAGCGAGAACTGAAACTACATAGCGGGCTGATGACAAAAATTTGAAAGTTTACTTTTGATCGCTTTACACGAAAAATAGCCAAACACGCAATGTTTAGCCAGCCAAGCAATCGAATTTGTAACAAGAAAAATTCAAAAAAAAGACAATACATTTTCTAGCTGCAGCTGTATATGCACGTACATATGTATGTAAAAATGTAAATGTTTCCTGGTAACTTAACTCTACATACATATATACTATGTACTTGTAATCTATGTAAATATTTACCTTTGAGTATTTATT